TATAAAGAGAGGCCTAAAATATTTTTATATACATTAAAAGATTAAATATGTGCATAGAAGATTCTAGAAATATCATAAATTTATAACATTTGATAATATTATAGTCATTCATGGAAAGACAAAAGATCTATAAATAGGTGAGAGGTTTCATTTGCAAGAACGAAGCAACCGTGTCTTAACTTAAATTCGAAGCCTTTTTTTGTTTGTGTCAAAGATTTTATTTATTTTTTACAACACACTAAATAAGTAAAAAATTAAATTGGGTTGGGGTATTTTATTATTAAAAATCCTACTAACATTCATCATTTGAAAAATTATTTTGATAATTAATTCTTTTTCTTTATATTTTTAACTGATAACAAACTTTATTATTTTTTGGTCTATAAATTCAACTTCAATTAGTGAAACTATATATATAAAATTGAATGCAAAAGTTAAAGCTGAATTTGTATTTTTGCATATCAAAAATAAGAAAATATTTTCTAAATAAATAATATTAATATTTAAATAATTATTTTGTCATGGGTCTCATATTATATTTTTGCTTAGGATTCAAATTTAGGTTGAACTGCCCTGCAAATCATAAACAGTTTCAAGCATAGTTAGTAAATTTTATTGGAGACCAAAACTTTTCATCGGTAACCATGGCAAATGTTGACTCTTTGACGTTTATCATTAAATCAAATAGACCACCTCAGAAATAAATAATAACACTATATTCCCTAGGGGTGTGGATGATTGGGTTGGATTGAATTTGAATCCGAATCCAATCTAACGCAATGCAAAATAGTCCAATTTTTAGGATTCCTAATGTAATGTATCCAATCATATTACATCTTTGGATAAAAATCATTTGGTTTTTGGGCCTCATTCACATGTGAAGATAAAAGATACTAAAATGACTATTACACTCTTTTGTAAATAAATGTAATTTAATCATATACCACGTTTAGATTGAAATGATGTCAATCAAATCCAATAATATTGTCTAAGTTTTGGAAAAAAAAATTTGATTCAATAAATTACGATTTTTTACAACACATTGCCGAAAATATGTTTATAATTTAATTTGTACAGTACATAATTCATCACAAAAATCTTTTGCAGCATGCATAAAAAAAAATATACAACACAAATGCATAATTATAATCTGAAAATTATGCTTGTAAATAAAAAAAAAAAGACAATGCTAGACAATAGGTCGTTATTATACATATGTTTATACATCACGTACAAATTGCTTATTTGAAAACTCTCCGCAACAAAATAAGGCATACAATTTGCCTACGTGGAGACCTTCCACAACAATTATTATTGCTTTGGATTGGTCCTTGTAGCAAATAATATTGAAGTGACAGCATATCTGCAAAGAATGGTCAAGAAAATTTCAAACAATATGTAAAAAAATGAGATCTTGCTTGAAAATAGGTCCATAACCAAGAAATTCGATTTAGAAGTGATAAAAATACATAATTACAATCAAAACTGAAGCAACACTAAATTTAGAACCCCACTTTACCTTTTATCACTTTGAAAACGTGACTTTCTCAACTACAAAATTCAGAACCCAATTTCATTTCAGTATCCCTAATGCTGCCCACTATATATTTCACCATAAATAGGATCCCATAAAAATTTTAGCTTGTATCAACAATACATATATTTTACCACCATAACCTAAAAGGCTAGTAATTTTATCAACACCCAATCAACCAATCCACTAGCCGTGCAGCAAAAAACATCTTATATTCGAAATCTGTAGCATAGTCATAGCAAGTGACTTCAAATAAAAAAGGATTGTAAATTTGTTGACGAAAAGATGGCATCTTAAGTAACTTCAATTCTTGCGCGACTGTTGGGTGTTGTGTGTAATACGTGAAAAACAAAATTAAAGCAACAAAGGAATATTCAATTACCTTTAAGCAGATCCGATCGGTGATCCATGATCGCTTTGTGCCCTCAAATTTGGGTTTGCTTCTTTCAGGCATTTTAACAAATAGTTGATATGCAAGATCAGTAACTAGTTTAACTCACACCTTAATTAAGCAATTAAATACAATAATTAACATTATTTATCTTTTTAGGTTACTACTCATTTTAATTAAAATCCTAATTAAATCAATACCTTAAACCTAATCACTTGCCATCAATTAAGGCAAAATTTTGTAAATTCAAGTCAAATACAATCCACAAAATTAGTTAAGCAAATTTTATTTACAAATGTAACCTCATTGGATCAACTCCAAACCCACCAAGTGAGGCACCACAATCCACTAGTTGCACCGCCCCTGCACAACCGCAACACATCATAATATAAATGCACCAGCCTTCAACCACCCACCTCCCTTCCACTGACCTCACCTCCCACCTTTCTTCCCCACCCACACCTCCATCACCACCATTGTCGCAAACAATGCACACGTGATGGTCTCTTCACCTATAACCCAACAATCAACCACCAGAGTCAACTAGTAACGCATAAACCAAGCCAGATTAGTGGATTCAGAGAGAGAGTAAGAGAAGGAGGGAGAATTTTGGATTTAGGTTTGTTGACGATTCACAATAGAGGATGGGAAGGTGGCGATTCACGATTCAATTCAATCTAAAGTAACGAGAGAGATCAACTGCAATGCCACAACCACCACCATACCCCAAAATCACAACCCACTCTACCACCTAAAACCATATTCTATAAATCCACAATGCCCAACACCCCCAACCCATCCATCCGAAACCTACCACCCCAAAAGCCATGTCCATTAAATCAATTTGCAGACCTTTAGGGATTTTTCAGACATCTTGTTCTCGGATCCTTAGAGATCTATTGATGGCCAGTAATTCCATCTTCTATCAAGATTTTCTCTCAACTGGGGTTCTTGTGGTGAGTTTGGTGGTGGCCTCGGGAGTGCCGATGGTGGAGATAAACTAAGAGAGGGGCATAGGGGAGGATGGGAACGGGTCTAGCGATGGTGTAGAGGTAGGTCAGATAGAGATTATATTTGGGGTCCTATTTCATGGGTTTATGTTTAATTTTGAGTTTGGGTTTGGTATTGTCTCGGATATATGGGCTTTATACGGTTTTTGCACTTTTTTGGATTTGGGTTAGATGGTTTGTTTTTTTTTTAAGAGGGCAAAAGAGTCATTTCAAAACTTTTGTTACATCCGTCAGTGCACCCTTATTGATGAGGGCTATTAATATAATATGTCAGGAGTCTATGTAATTAAATAATAAATCTCAAATAATTCAAATATAATTTATGCATATTATTAATGAATAATATTTGAAATTGGGATAATCACTTGTAAGTCACCTTCGTTGAATCGGCTCGAAGATACATGTTGTAAAGAAGCAAATAGTGGCGTAGGATAAGGGTTATGTTTTCCTTGTAGTTAGATAGTTGTATAAATGTTTAATTTTTGAATTTAAGAAACTCAAAAAAGTGTTAGTCATTAAAAGCTTGTTATCTGTACAATCTTGTCAGGTCAACAGATAATTCATTGTTAATGAGAAAATATTAAAGATNTTCTAATGAGACAAAAAGAAAAAATCAACCAAAGACATATTTTATGAAACTCGAATTTAAGAAACTCAAAAAAGTGTTAGTCATTAAAAGCTTGTTATCTGTACAATCTTGTCAGGTCAACAGATAATTCATTGTTAATGAGAAAATATTAAAGATTAGGAAATCTACTACTACCAAGTTCTAGTAATAGTTTATTGTTGTTGATGACAATCAAGGCAAACGTTGATCAATTCTAGGAGACACTATGGCATTTTTAATTAGGTTTGCNCAAATCTACTACTACCAAGTTCTAGTAATAGTTTATTGTTGTTGATGACAGTCAAGGCAAACGTTGATCAATTCTAGGAGACACTATGGCATTTTTAATTAGGTTTGCATATCCAAACGAGACACAAGGTCAAAGTCTTCTATGCCCTTGAATAAATTACTTTTCAGTTGTCCGTATTTTCCGTCAATTTCTTGGGGGCCATCCACGTTTTCCGGTCTTCGAAAGAAAGAGAGACAAGACAGAGTGATAAGGGGGAGGCTTCCCCGATAAGAATAGTCAATAAACCCGTTTTACAGGAGCTGTCATGATCGACAACAGGGTCGACGCCGTGGCACAACCATTCATCTTTTCTTAGAAAAAAGTTTAATATTTTTCTTTTAGTATAAAAATATGATAGGTTTTGGACTCTGAGATTGTTTTGTAAAATTCGATATAGGTGTAATTACACATAAGGCATGTGCACCTCATCGGGTTTAGGTTTTTCTTTGATTCTATGAAAAAATGCGTCATTGTGATTATTAAAAATAGTATATGATTCATATTCAGAGTACAAAACGAGTCTGTTACACTTTTAATATGTAATAAATAATTAGAATGGTTAAACGGCCTGGTCAAACTGAAAGCTACATTTTTTCTAATGCATTTATGAATCCAACCATCAACACCAAGACAACATGTGACACATTTTCTTCTGGTTGGTTGGTGCTTGAAAACACATCAATCAATGGGTGGAAAAACTATCATCAAGGACATACTATGACCATTAGTATGAGTTTTGCGTTACGTTAGTCTTCATTTTTATTTGTTTCAATTTATTCCCTAATTTTTTAATTTATATCATTTTTTTTCCGGTAAAAATTATCCATTTTTTGTAGAAGAACCTTATTTGGTTCAATCAAAAATGATTCTATTATTTCAATGTCTGCAATTCAATATACATGAATATGTATAATATATATGTCTCTCTTATTTTTATTTTTCCGATACAATTCAAAACATTTGAATGGTCGATTATTTGTTTTTTCATCTTAACATCGATCTTTACAAATGTGAATTTGAATTCAATTTTGTACTAAATTTGAATATGATTTGCCTGCAACCAATTTTCATGATGTTTGCGGACGGATTAATGACATCAAAACTAAAAATTCGGCCGTATAAGCTGACTAATTGAGTCAAAAATTGTAATTTTGGTTGAATAACAAAATGGGAGTCGTATAAATATCAATATATGAGTGCAAAAATTATTGTCACAATACTAATAATAATAATAGCTGCAGTACAAAAAATCCAGCTTTATGGATGGTATAAAACAAAACACAATCTGTGTAACAAGCTGAAAATCAAATCGAATCAAATGGAACTACATAAAATTCTGTATCAGTAACTAATACAGGAAAGCTATGGCAATGGACAAGATGGTGAGTGGCAAGGTGGCGACAGCCACAGATGGTGCTGAGTTTCCAGGTGGTGGTGGTGGAGGACTGAGACTTCCAATTGGAGACGGCGATGAGGGGGTGGCGGAGCCTGACGGAGTGGGGGAGGAACCCGAGGGAGCGGGGGCGGCGGCGGTGCCAGTGACGTTGATGGCTAGCTTTTGGCCCAAGGAGCAGTGGCTGGGGAAGGTGCATATGTAGAAATGTTCGCCAGGGGCGGTGAGGGTGATCCTCGCCGGGCCGGCGGTTATGGTGGAGATGGGGGCGGTGGTGTTGCAAGGTTCAAAAGCTGCCTTCCTTACCTCCGCAACGTCGTGTGTTCCGGTGGTAAAGTTGAAAACTGCAATAGAAAACCAAATATATAAATTATTAGACAAGATGGTTTTGTAAAATTTTATTTATTTAATATTATCTAGTTTCTAAGTCAAATTTTCTCTTTTCCATTTTTAGGTTCAATTGTAAAGGATGGTGGAACTAATTTATACGCATTTCAATTAATTATCTCCCCATTCCAATTAAAAATAAATTATTCACACTAAAATTAAAATATTTATAAAAAATAAATTTCTCGTGATATAATCATAAAGAATTACCAAAATTTACCCTCGTTACCACTTAAATTATCCTTAAAGCTTCAAAATTTTCTTTTTAATAACTAGTGCAAAAGAGTTCCATGAAATTTAAAAGAAAGGATACAAGGTTTTTTTTTTTAATCTAAATTATAGTTTAAAACTATCCGTGTATGGATGATTTTCCAAGTCTTGATAAACCACATATGATAAATAGGTTTGTAATTGAAAGCATGGTTGTGATTGGGGGTCTAATTTTTACAAGAGAAAAAATAATAAGGAATCACAATCAATTCTTATCATGAAACCAATATTGTCAAAGGTATTTAAAATATACAAATTTTTGTTAAGGTTATAAAACATGGTATCATCAAATGAAATAAAAAGACGGTACATTGAAAATACGCTTTTTAGCATGAATAACCACAAAAAATAATGTGACAATGACATTTGTTTTATAAATATATTTTGTTTAAATAAAAAAATATTAATGGGTTATATCAAGTGATTATAGAAAAAAAAACATTACTAAACATTAAAATGCATATATTGTTCCCATTTTTAAAAAAAAAATAAAGTCTAGTCTTTACCTAGAGTGTCTCCGACCCGGAAGTTCTTATTGAAGGCCCAAGTTTGGTAGGCTATGGGCCCACCAGGAGGGACAGTCCAACCCAAGCTATCTCCCACAACATAAATCATCGGACCAGAAGCTGGTGATGGTACTGGTACTGGCGTAGCCACCGGCGAAGGTGTTGGTGGAGGTGTTGACATAGGTGGAGAAGCGGCGGGAGATGGCGTAGCCGCTGGTGGAGGAGTGGCTGGGGCTGGTGTAGCCACTGGTGGAGGCATGGCGGGTTGAGGAGCTGGAGAACTGGAGGCAGCAGAGACATTGATAGCCAACATTTGTCCCAACCCACAGTGCCCTGGAAAGGTGCAAATGTAATAGTGCTCGCCGGAAGAGTTCAATGGGATGGTGGCCGGCCCGGCGGTGGAGATGGAGATCGGACTGTTGGTGTTGCAGGAACTGAAATCACCTCTTCTCACCTCTGCTACGTTGTGGTTTCCGGTGGTGAAGTTGAAAACTGCATATACAACATTAATCAAATTAGCCACTATCCAAACTAACTATAATATCATCACTATATCAGTTGAGATATTTGTAGATCGAGTAGCAAATGAATCAAATCAAGTTGAACATTAGACTGTTTAGAATTTGGTCGTTCATTCACAAAAAAGGGTCTAGTTTAGTTTGAAATTATGACCAAGTTTCAAATATCTTATTCAATCTTAAGTTAATTATTATTAATCTTTGGACTAATTTCACTTTACACTTTAAAAGATATTTCTCTCAAACATTAAAAATTTTATTTTTTGTCATAAATTAAATTACATGAATTACAAATCAACACTACACAACTCGACCCTTTTGCAGCCTAATACTTAATTTATAGTATAGTTATGGAATAGATGTTTGATATAATCATAAATCATATAGAAGGGATGTGGTAATTACCGAGAGTGTCACCAACTCTAAAGGTTTGCCTGGAAGCCCAGGTGCGGTAAGCGATGGATCCACCGGGTGGGACGACCCAACCCAAGGCATCACCAACTACATGTGTAGTCTGTGCCTTTGAGCTTTGTAGCAAAGCAGCTGCTACTAACACCATAAACACAACCATATTGGATCTTCTTCTTGCCATATTTCCTTGTGTTCTTAAAGCACCTCAGGTCGCCCCCGCTAGCGGTGTGCGGTGGTGGTGGTTGAGGGACAAGGGTTTGAGTTTGAAGGCAAATGGGTTGGATTTGATGTGTGGGACTCTTGGTATTTATAGAGGATAGGGGGNGATTTAAATACGATTCAGTGGGGGGCCACATTGGAACCTTCTAGCGCTCAAAGAAATACTAGCTAGTCCAAATTAGTGTATAAGCTAAAATATATTATTTATTAAATTTGGGTCTAAATTCATAGAATTGATAGGACTCTATACTCTGGCCAGAGGTGTGGGAATACTTAATCCTATATTTCTAGTCTTGTTTGAATTGGTTTAATTAAATATATTTAATTAAATAATGTTTGTTTGGATATTATAATTATATACCTCTGCTTAATTAATTNGTAAATTTAGAAAAAAAAAATATTAATTATGTTTTGGTTTCATAAAACGACAGATATTATAAAATAAAAAAAATAAAACGACAGATATTATGAAATAAAAAAAATTGTGTAAAACGACAGATATTTAAGAACGAAAAAAGTATTTGGCTTCAATCAAGTCAATATTGGCTCCATATCTTTTATTGGGTCGGTTATTGAATTCAAAAATATTTTCGGTGTCATATCAAAAATGTATTTTTAATATAAATATTTATTTAAATTATTGATAATATTTGATTGAAAAACTAAGGGTAAATGAAAATAAAAGAAGTTTTACAATTCCAAGATTTAATTGAACAAATTAAAAAAAAAAAAAAGGAAAGATGAAATTAAAAAATAGACCAAACTTTTAATATCTATATTTGTGGTTGATCTTTTTTTTTTTTTTGGTTTAATCAAATATATAATTTCGGTCTTGTAATTAGACTTGACAATTTTAGACACAATATACAAATTTAATACAAAATTAACCCAAAGATAATATATTTGGGCTTAGTCACTGGGGGCTAAACAGGTGGACAGGCCTCCTAAGTAGATTTATCAATATGAATTTATTAAAATACGAATTATAACGACACAAAATGAATTATATAGGCAAAAATAGATTGGACATATATTCAATAAAATTTAATATGAACATAATTTAAATACGATTCAGTGGGGGGCCACATTGGAACCTTCTAGCGCTCAAAGAAATACTAGCTAGTCCAAATTAGTGTGTAAGCTAAAATATATTATTTATTAAATTTGGGTCTAAATTCATAGAATTGATAGGACTCTATAGTCTAGCCAGAGGTGTGGGAATACTTAATCCTATATTTCTAGTCTTGTTTGAATTGGTTTAATTAAATAATGTTTGTTTGGATATTATAATTATATACCTCTGCTTAATTAATTGTTTAGAGGGAGGGGGCATCTATTCATTAAACAATTTCTTTAGATTCACAATGCCAAATGAGGGACAAGTCTGCTCATTTTAACTATATTTTTGCCAACAAAGACAAAATATACATTTAATTATGTCCTCGGCTTCATTATTTTTAGATCTTTTTGAAGTTGACAACGTGAGATATGATATATCTGCATGCATGTTATCTGTAAACTACTCTTTTCAAACAATAAAATGGACAAAATCAGAGTTACTGATACTTAGGTGATTTTTTGAAAAAACTAAAAATTGAAAGTTGAAAGTTGAAATCGTGGATTATTTGGTTTTTACTAAAATTTAAGTACTGAATTAAATAACATAATAAGTTAATGATAACATTTCATAAAAAAAAAATAAATAAATAATCAAAAAATATTGAGAAAAAAATAACAATAAAAGGTGTTTGTGTGCGGTGGATGTATGTGTGTGTGTGTGCGCAATGCATGTGTATACTATGTGTGTGTGCAATGCGTACTTCTGCGTGTGTGTAATTATGTATATATATTTTTGTTGAGCATGACAAGAGAAAAAAAAAAATAAAAAGAAAAAAGAAGAAGCCGATAAGGAAAATACTTACTAGTTACCCTTTGAAGAAGACAATTGGCTTGGAGGATAGAAATGTTAAATGTTATTAGAATCGGACCGGTCCTCTAACCGATTAAGAGACTGAATCAATGGTTTACTGGTTCAACCGATATCTTTGATATGACCTGCCATATAATAAAAAAAATTATAAAATATATATAATAATTGTAAAACATAATAATTTAGCTAAAAACAATACATTGATTTTGCAACGAGCAAAATCGCCCAACAACGAGCAAAATCACCCAACAATGTACATAATTAAGCACCAAATAATTAAACAATCATCGCGTATCATACTAAAAAATTAAAAAATAAAAGATGTAGTCACATACTCACAGTCAAAAACACAAACACAAACTTGGTTAGATCATACTATGCCCAAAAACAAAAACCAGAGCTTTATTCTATAAGCAAAACTTTTTACCCATCGCATCACAGCAAATGAGCAAAACTTTTTACCTTAAAGGGAGGAGTTCTGGTTCGCCTAAGTTCGCTGGATTCGCCAGTCAAAGAACCCTGGTCATTGATCGCAGTCGAAGATCCCTCCTTGATCGCTGATCTCAATGGCTGATGCCGCTGATCGCAGTCGAAGTTGCCTGAGGCCCTAATGTCGTTGGAGCCTGGTGGTGGTGGTGGTGCCACCGCCTTCTGTTCTGCGATTTAGGGCAAAAAAAAGCCCCAAATCTTGTACAAATTCTAATTAATTTGTTGATGTAATTTAATGTTTAAATGGGTATTAAACTGTCTGATTTTATAAAAATTATCCAGTTTTTGGGTTTATAGCCGATTTTTTTGCCTTAAGCAGTCCAATTAGGAAATCGAACCGATCAAACTCCTAGTTCAAGGTTGAACCGGTTTAACCGATCAGTCTGGTCCGGTTCTGATAACATTGGTTAGGAGTTTTTGAAAGAAGACTAATTAGACTTATAATCGGATTGTAAAATATTTTAGGATATAATTATCTTATTGTAAATATTATTAAAAAAGATTTTATCGATTACTATCAGTTTTCAGAATTAAGTAATGAATCTCTTACTTAAGATTATAATTTATTTTTAAGCAACACTTAACATATTAAGAAAACTTAAATTTTAGTTATCAAATAAATTTAATTAATAAATATCGAATACATTAATTTTAAATATTACATTTAAGTTAACAAACACGTCCTAAGTTTGACCTCCTCCCTAAGTTCAAGCATCATGTACGAAGGGCAGCCCAAAAAGTACTGAATAGGAGTGTATCAACCGGTATTTCAAAGCACGGTGTGGAAGTGGAACCAACATTTCTAGGTAGCTTGAATCATTGACCAAACAAAAATATCTTATTATATATCTTGGTCTCCAAAGGATGCCACCTTTTTACAAGGTCTTTCGTTTCAAATTTGCTTTTACAATTAATTGAATCTTCTTGGTCCTGTTGAATTATATTGTCCATTTACCAAACCCATATCGTTCTGAATGGCATTACAAAATAGATAGATCAGCTAAAGGATTACATATATATTTTTTTTTTTGCATTTTTTTTTTTTGGGTTGTGGGGGGTTTTGTGTGTGTGTGTTGGGGGGTGGGGAGCTGAAGGATTTCATAAACAAAGGCCAAGGCTCAACAAAGACTGTTCCAACAACAAAGTCCACAGTGGTCACCTTGTGGCCTTTTTTTTTTTTTTTTTTTGGTTCAGGGTGTTCGAGTTAGTTTATGCATATTTCGATTAATTCTTTTTTCGATTCAGTTAAAGGCAGATCATCCATATCGGAACTAGAATATTCATGAGTGATAAATTCTTCATGATCTGACCCTAAAGAACTATGAAAATTCAAATTCAGGACATTTGAATTTATAATTTGTCTTTATTACCACTTAAACTTGGATCGTTTGTTTTGCAGGAATCTATTCCCAAGTAAATGAGGAAAACACCATATCAGAATTTTGTAATATTTTACTGTGATTTCAAACTTGTTCTTTAAAGTATTATAATTTCTAGTTTATTTTTCAATCTATCATTGTCTGTATTAGACCGGGGCCCACACTTTTCATTATAAAAACGTGTTACAAAACAAACTTCACCGTATAAGTATATTTATAAAATACACTTTAATATTGAAAAGGATAGGTTGAAACCACAATTTAATATAAACTCTGGTAGATTGAAAGAAGTCAAACGAAAAAAAAAATCCATTTTATAGGAATTCACTTTTATAATCAGAATAATGCTCAACCCAAGTGAAAAGGGCCTCTCTCTATGCGTGTGTTGAGCTTTGCCGTGTGAATTGTTGTATGTGTTTCTTCTGTGCATGTTCTATTAAAAAAAAACTATGTTCCAATCCGACATCAGTTGCTTTTCACCAGTTCTGTGAGTATAAGTGACTCACTGCCAATTCTTCTTTTAAGAAGAATTGGTTTGTGGGTCCTTTTCTATGTGTATGTTGAGCTTTGCCGTGTAGATTGTTGTGTGTGTTTCTTTTGTACATTTTGTGTCAAAAAAAAAAAAAGTGAAAAGAGTCTACCGGAAGACCAGTGCTAGAAAGCACACAAAGAAATATCCATCTTTCCCAGAGAAAGATTATGTTTAGCTCATACCCTTGATCAACTCTCTGATAAAAAAGCTAGAAGACAACTCATGACAACAATAGGTGTAAACTAATGTGTGCCTTTTAAATTTACTCGTTTCCCCCCGTGTGGCATCCCACTTCCAAAGAGGAAATAACTACCAAGTCGTGCATTTCTTCATAAAGTCGAGAAGTCTCCCCTGACTTTCTTTCCTGGTTCCCTTTCTTTGTTGCCTATGGAGTGAGTTCGTTGATGGCAGGAAGTGAAACCACTTATTTCTGCTCGCTGCACAGCATATAATTCACCAATATAATTCATCAAAGAACATCTCAACCAGTGGGATTTCAAGGGATGATAACTCATGGATGTTACAACTAAATCAAAAGGCCATCATATTACACATACACAAACAAAATGAAAAAAAAAAATTGCACTGATGGTACATAAGCCCACCAAAGATTTATTTGGCATAAAACCAATATACATTGCTGAAATACTCAAAAACAATCAGCAAATTCTTATGAGTCTTTCCTGAGCAGCAAGAATTGATGATGTATTTGTAATCC